AAAAAAAACACCACAAACAAGTTACATGATGCCACAATAGCAAATTAGGGACATTATACAAATGAAAAATGTGCCTAACTGTAAGTACTGGGGAGGAAAAGGCATTAAAAATAACTTTTTATGCACAGCATAGGAATTCTCCTTAATTAGCTGCCTTATTTCTGTAGTATCTTCTTTAATCCTCGCAGCATCACCAGCACACACAGTAAGTACTTTATGAAAGCTTCACACTACCTACTGTAGAAGGGTCATCCTTCCATATTCATTTACCAGTAAAAGTGCTACAAGCATAAAGTTCTTGGAAGCTTAAGTCACAAAATCAGGTAAAATCCCTGGAAAGTTTCAAACAATGTATGATTTGCAGTCTAAGAGGAAATCAGACATTGCTTTACACATCCATTTTTACATATTAATATCTTTACACATCCATTTTCACATATTAATAGATCATTGATTTTGAACGAAAGCACGTATTTTACAACTAGAGCTTTTATCTAAGACACTACTTTTGGTAGTACTTTAAGATTCTTTAAGAAAGCATATGAGCAGGTGACATAGCTTTTGAGTTCCACATCACAGAATGCTCAAAAATTCTGTGATGAGCATTCACTTCACAAGTCAGCTAATTACAGTCAACAAAGAACATCACAGAGAAACAGTTTTCACTGGCTTTTCTTCCACATATGGCTGAAAACGTAATTTTATAGCAGATAAACTTTCTTTCATTTACTATGTAGCACTGTAGTTATACTGAACTTCTCCAGTTGAAGAAGCAGTCTGTAGCCCAACTTCCTAACCAAAGTATCCACTGAATTTTGCTACATCTACACAACTGGCAGGTTTTCACTACCAGATTTTAAATAGTGACAAATAGCTCTCCCAGTTAAAATAAACAGAATGAATTAAAGTTTACTTTAATTGTGCCAAAGATCAAACACATGTCAGGTTAAAAAAAAAAAAAGAGCCATGTGTAACATTTATAACCAACCTCTACCTCCACAGCTTGTAGAAAACCCTTCTGGAATTCCACAACATTGTTCCCAAATGGAGACAAAAACTCTGTCATGTCTCGACCTATGCCCATGTGAGAATGGCCAGTATGTACACCTGCAATGATGGGGTGACTGCTGCCAAAAATTCAATAAAAATAGCAAACTCCTTAGCAGCAATGTAGCATTAAGAAGCAGGCATTCTTTATTCAGTCATATGCGCAAGTAGCTCCTCCTACACTTTTGCATGCTGAGTAGAGGAAAGTTTCTGATTACACACTGTATTTTACATACATATTCATCGATTGTCCCAGAATAAAAATACACGATAATAATTTACCCATTATCATTTAAGTATTTTGTCCCTCCTTTACGCATGTGTTCTTCTGTCCTGGGGGTCTGTCATAGTGGTCAGGGATGTTACAGCTGACACAGTCAAGCTGGCAGGGCACTAGGGCTGGTGAACTTCCAGTTCTCCTTCTTACAAAATAGCATTGTGCAGTTCCACAGGCCAATGGTTGTAGGACAACAACCATTGTGTCAGCTCACCAGGTGTTGACTATTTATCATCCAGTAACATGACAACATCAGTGGGCAAAGGAAGGGCTACAGATGGCATTTATCTGGGCTTCTGTAAAGCCTTTTGACACTGTCCTCCACAACATCCTTCTCTCTAAATTGGAGAAATGGATTTGATGAGTGGACGCATTTGCTGGTGGATATGAGAATAGTTGGACGGCAGCATCCAAAGGATAGTGATTAATGGCTCAGAGTCTCAAAGGACATCAATGACAGGTGGTGTCCCTCAGGATTCTTACTGTTATTTAATATCTTCATTTACTGACATTATGTTGAGTCAGGGACAGACAGAAAAGACTCCAGTCTTCAGGAGGCAAATTAGAAGGCCTTAATGAAAGTAGAGCATCTTTTTATAATGTGACTTGCTAAGGTGAGACTTGATTGGTCTCAAAGTAAAAACTTCTCACACTATTGGTAAGCTGTGAATAGCACACTCTGGAGAATCATAACAACAGTTACAGAAAGAGAGATAATAATTGTTTTAATTCTTTTCTCTAAGTTTCCCAGGCTCGTTCTGGGAGAAAATTATCTCTTTCTTCGACAGAACTGAGAATATCCACACAGACAAAGGGATCAACTGCTCTATGGACAAGTCTGTAGATGACACCAAGTGGTGTCAAGTGGTGCAACTAACACACCTGAAGGATGGGATGCCATCCAGGGGGACCTGGGCAAGCTCAAGAAGTGGGCCCACAGGAATCTCAGGAGGCTCACCAAGACTGAGTGCAAGGTGCTGCACCTAGGACAGGGCAAGCCCCAACACAGGCTGGGGATGAACAGATCAGAGCAGCCCTACCAATAATGACTTGGGGTGCAAGTGGAGGAGAGGCTGGACATGACCCAGCCATGGGCACTCCCAGCCCAGAAAGCCATACGTGTCCTGGGCTGCATCCAGAGCAGTGTGGGCAGCAGGGCCAGGGAGGGGATTCTGCTCTGCTCTGCTGAGCAGAATCCCTGCAGGGATTCATCCAGCACAGGAAGGACATAGACCTTTTGAAGCATGTCCAGAGGAGGCCCAAGAAGTTGATGAGAGGGATAGAGTGCCTTTCCTGAGGTGAATTGGAAAGGCTGAGGGAATTGTGTTTGTTCATCCTGGAAAAGAGAAACTCCAGGGTGACCTAATTGTGGCCCTCCAGCACCTGAAGGGAGTCTGCAAGAAAGATTGAGATAGACTTTACAATAGCATGTAGTGACAAAACAATAAAGAATGGCTTTAAACAGAAGGAGAATAAGTTTAGATTAGATATTAGAAAAATCCTTTACTGTGAGAGTGGTGAGGCACTGAAACCAGTTGCCCAGAGAAACTGTGGACACCACATTCCTGGCAGTTGGCTCAAGGCCAAGGTGAATGGGACTTTATACAATCTTGCCTAGTGAAAGGTGTCCCTGTCCAGAGCAGAGGTCAATCATCTCTGAGGTCTGTTCCAACCCTGGCCATTCCATAATTCTAAGATCTAATAACTGTACTGACATGGCATAGGTTGCATATATTACACTGTAGCTGGTTCTTTTTCAGTGTGAAATAGATAACTTCAGAGATCTAGAAAATTAACCACAAAAACTGGAACTATATTACTAGACTAAAAAGTATAGAAATGAAGCTCACCTTCTAGCTTCTGTGACAGAATAGTTGACTGGAGAGGATGAACTCATGATGACCCATAGACAGCTTGTCAAGCTGCAAAAACTATAAACTCTGGAGAATGAATCTACTGTATATACATTTACTTGACAAGCTTCCAAGATGATTCTTCCATATCATAAAAACATTACAATCTGTAAAAGAGACATGCTTTAATTTATTTACCAACATAATGAATCATTTGTTAATACACACAAGCAGTTAGAAAACAGTCTTACTACTACATCATATGAACAACTACTGCCTATAATTTTACAGTCTTAGACATCTATGAGAATTGTACTTCTAGTCCTTGAAGCTTAAATACTGTAGACCAATATATACATATATAGTAACACAGCAGAATATCCTCTGCCAAGGTTTTCAGAATATCACTAAAAAGTATTTTGTTCCCATACATCGATCCTCTATCTTGTAAGAATATTACAAGCTCCATTTCTCTTCAAAACAATTCTATTGAAGATAAATGCATAAATCATGATTGAATGTACTAGTTTGCTGTCTGATAACAGCCTTTAACACAACAAGTCTTCCAAGTATTTTACAAACCTGGAATTTTCTATTTGAACATATTTTTATTGTATTAGATAAATCAGCAATAGCTAGGACTATACAGAAGGAATTCTAAATTGAACTGTAACTCTACTAATCTTTAGAAAAAATCATTAATTTAGTGTCACAATAAAAAAGAAATCAATATAGACAACATATTTATAATGCTGAACTTAAAAAATCCATTGTTTAGGTCAAGTTGCACAGCAAACTCACTAAAGACCTCTTTCAATTAATTAAAGCAAAGTAACATGAACTGTAAGCTGTATTCAACAGTCAATATTAATGACCCATAAAGGTTTGTTTTTGAACATGATAGCAGATGGACATCCATACTAAAGTCCAAAACAGGAAACTTGCCTAGACTCCATTTCTACCATCCCTGGTTTGTAGTCATATGCCCACAGAATCATAGAATAAGCTGAGTTGGAAGGCATCCATTAGAACTATCAAGTCCCAACTCCTGGCCCTGCACAGGACACCCAATAGCCACACCATGTCCCTGACAGCATTGCTCCAATGCTTCTTGAACTCTGTTAGTCTGGTGCTGCAACCACCTCCCTGGGAGTCTGTTCCAGGGTCTAACCACCTGCACTTAAGGGTGAAGGACCTTTTCTGAATATCTAGCCTAAACCCCCCCTAACTCACTTTCAGGTCATTCCCTCCATCCAGTCACTAGAGATTAAGGATCGGTGCCTGCCCCTTCACTTCCCCTTGTGAGGAAGTTGTAACTTCAATGACATCTCTCCTCAGCGTCCTGCAGACTGAACAGACCAAGTGACCTCAGGCATCCCTCATAACATTTTCACCAACCTTGCATACCTCCTTTCAGTACTTTCAAATACTTCAATGTATATTTAGTATTGTAGTATCCAGTGGCAGCAGCTGGTGTAATATATTAATATAAACTGGCTTTATTCACTCCAGTTGCTGGATTAGCAATATGGGAAAGAAAAAAAATGCATTTCTGCTTCAATCTATAATTTTAACAGAAAATGCAGCAAAAATAAACTTATTTTTAACAACTCTGAGTTTTTGATTTGGGATCTTTTCTTTATTTTTACAGAAAAGTAGTATATTCATATAGAACAACTAGATGTATCCTTTGTGATCTTTAACATCTACTCATCAGAATTCACCTTGGTGCATGTGTTCAGAAAATTCAAAAAACAATAATTGCCATGCAACAGACACCCACACTCCTACAGAAAACAGCATAGCTTTTTTTCCATCTCAAATGAGAAAGCAGTTGAAAACCTCATTCTCAAAGTATAGTCTGTAGTATAATTTCTAGGCATATGTTAAGTTCCATTAAATTATTAGTGACTTGCACACTGAAAACTTTATGTAAGAGAAGAAAATCTTGACAAAGTACTTGTAGTACTGTACTCAACAAAGATGAATCACTTCAATAAAAATGAAAATGAGGTATCCCAGTATAGGAAACTATACCTCTATCAATTGTGCCAAATTTTCACATTCAGACATAGCTCTGAACACTACGAAATGAGTATTTTAGACCACCCTTTTCTTAATATTTATTGCCAAATATATATATTTGGCTTTTACCAAAACCTGAACAGTAGAAAATTAAAAAAAAAAAAGGTGCAATTAAATAGATGCAGCAGAAAAAAAATCTGTTTCAAAACATAAGCAAAATCTCCTCTGATACATCCATACCACCTTGAAGTTTTAGAACCTTCTGAAATTACTTTTAAGTCTTTTCATTACTTTGACAGGGGGGGAAACAGGGAATATCTAATGACTGCTTTCTGGGAATGTTAATGATCTTGAATATACAACATCCCTCTGTTAAGACGCACATCCATAGTTTACTAGCACACAAATGGACACACTCCAAGAGCATGCTATTTCAATCAGGCAAAAAAAATATTCAAGGGGCATGGAGTGGCTTGTCAGAGCACCACAATCAAACAAAAGTTAGGAAGTTTTTGCTTGAGGAGGTAATACATTCAACGGATGTTACCTACAAAACTTGTGTCTTATTCTCCTCACAAACTTCTGAATATGCTTAACTAGCTTTATGAAGGCCATTGATTTAAACTGAATGTGGGGAAGAACTTCTTTATTGTGAAGGTGTTGAGGCACTGAAACAGGCTGCCCAGAGAAGCTGTGGATGGCCATCCCTGGAGGTGTTCCAAGACCAGTCTGGATGGAGCTTTGATCAGCCTGGTTTAGTGGGAGGTGTTCCTACCCACGGCAAAGGAATGGAAATGGAGGATCTCTAAGGTCCCTTCCAGCGGACTGAATCTAACCAGGATGTACTAATTTGAAACACACGAGGCCAGGCGGAACTACCACATCTGTGTTGCAACTACAAAAGCTCACCAGCTTCGGCTGAACGAACCACTAGCCCTTCGCTAATGCAGGCTGAAAATTTTTAAGTCGGCTAAAAAACAAAGTAGAAGCATCCCTTCGCACCGTGGCCCCGGAGCGGCGCTGGCTGAGCGCACGCCGTCCCGGCGGCTTTGGCGCTTTACCTGGCAGGAAGGGCTGAGGGGAAAAGGTCACAACAGAGCTCCAGCAGCAGCGCCCCGGGGCCGCTCCGGGCTGCCGGGAAGCGCCGTGAAGAGCAGGGAAGCGCAGGGAGGCACCGGGAGCGCCGGGAAGCGCCGGGAAGCGCCGGGAAGCGCCGCGCCGTCTCCAGGCGCCGCCGGCACGGCCGCGGCCGCCGCGCCGCGCCCTCCCAACGGCGGCTTCCGGCCGCGGCGGAAACGACATCGGCGGGCCGGCCGCGTCCCGGCCGCTCTGGGTCCGAAAATGTATCGTGCGTGCAGGAAATTAAAATCACCGCCTGACGTGAGAGCCAGATTGAGGTGTGCACGGCCTCAGTCTCGGGGCAGCACATCCTTCACTCGTATTATCAAGAGAAACAAAGAGGTAAATGACTTTGAGGATCCCTGGGACTGAAAGCACAGCAGGGTGGATGAGGCAGACCCGTAACAAGGTTACCATTTCCCCTCTGGTCGCCTCACTGCACAAAGGGAAAGGTTTCTTTGAAACACCTTGAAATTGTTTCTTTGAAACAATTGTAAATGTATATGATGCCAAACAAGAGCAGCATAAGCGAGTGAGAGAACAAAATCAACCCCACCACAGCTTAGAAAAGTGGACAATAGCAGTATCATGTAAGTGGTATATCCTTCAAGGTACCAATTGAAGTTTTAATAAAAAGATAAAAAGTTCTGTAATATTTTCACCCTTAGAGAAAAAGACTTAAAGCTTAATTGCTAGTTTCCGACTTGATTTCTATAATTGGCTTTTACTGATGATTTTTCTGCTTCTCTATCATGCAATTACTCTAAATGCCTAGTGCCAGATGAAATAAGTTCTTTGCCCAGGTTCACAAAAATAGATTTCATTATGTTGCAGTTCTGTTAATAACAGCGTGATTGGGGTTTTTTGATCAAAAATACAGAGTGAAGAGGATGTCCTCTCTGCTGTCGTCTGATGAGTAGTCAAAAATTAATATGAAAAATAGCCTCAGCTAATGAAAAAACATAAATTATGTGATAATATGAAAGGAGGCAGAGACCTAGCATCATATTTGAATGCTGTGATAGGTCATGACAGTATAAGAACTTGGAAAATTCTGAACCAGTAATACTAGCTTATCTGCCCAAAATGTCCCACACAGTTTTTTACATTGATTTACAAAAATTACTTTAGGCACAATACAGTTGCTGCACACATATAGTTAAACAAACACCTCTCCTTCCTCCCATACTGAAAAATACATACCATATATACAACCATATGTAGAATTATTTCAGTTGGAAAAGACATCTAAGATCAAGTCCTACCATTAACCCAGCACTGCCACAGCCACCACTGAACCATATCCCTAAGTGCTTCATCTGTATATCTTTTAAATACCACTAGGGATATGGACTTTTATTCCAAGTGATCATTCATTTTTACATAGGAAGAAAGGTTTTTACCTCTCTTAATGTATTGACAATTGAGGATATGAACTTTTCTTCCTCCAAGAAAATCAAACAGATCTGACTTGTTTAAGCCATCAGAAAAATGCAGTTTGTTCTTGCTTAACACAGATGGGATAAAATTTTACAGTTAAAGTTTATAAAACAACATTTTGAATTTAAGGAGGAGAGAGCCTAGAACAAATCACAACTTGCTCTGTGGCAACTGCAGTGGGTGTTTTAGACCTGACTTGAGTTTCAGTATCGAAACTGAAAAGGGTAAGATGATTCTTCCTTCTCACAAGGACTTACCTTTATGTTCAAGTAGCACAGAGGGTAACTGGCAGAAAAGTGACCTGTAAAACTTGTGCATCAGGCCACACACCAAAGATGAAAAATTGAGCACAAAACGACTAGGTCTTCCCCTGTGAAACAGTGTACAGAGTAAATTTTTGTGCTATACTATGACTTGCAGGTGTGGGGCCACCACACAGGACTAAACCCAGAGAGAGCTGACAGGCAAGCTAATTTTTGATGCAGAACTAGAAGTAGACACAACAGGATAAGCAGGCCATAAGAAAGAAGGTAGTGAATTTATTTGGTTTTGAGATCTTCACTTTGAAGAAAAGTATTTGTGGGGAGGCTGACAGTGGCTGATGCACTTACTAAGGAGATCAGCTGACAGAAACAGGAGAGGTTGACATAGTTGCTTGAAATGCTAGGTGAGGAGGAAGCTTAATGCTGACTGGTAAACAAGCCAGGAGAGTAACATAGCCTGAATTAGTAGCAATCCTAGTTAGAAAACAAAACCAATCAACCAACCAAAAAAAAAAAAAAAATTAAAGAAAAAAAAAAAAAAATCCACCAAACCCAGGAGTTAATGGCCACTAAGTAGCAAGTAAGGACTGTGTTACAGACTTAAGAAAATAAAACAGAGTTGTTCGACGCTGGGGGAAGTCAAAACATCAAGCAAGTGGCTGGGGAGTACCCGGGTAACATGGGCAGTTTTTGGGCCGGCAGCAATAAGGGATGAAAAGTCCGGCAAGGGAACGGGTCTCTAACGGAGCTCGTGGGGCATGAGACACACAAAGGGTCCCGCGGGGACATCGCACTCGCCCACTTTGGGAAGGACACTGCGCTCATTAACCGCGCCAGCCTGTCAGTGGCTGAGCAAAGCCCATTCCCGCGTGTGCGTGGCGATCCTCAGCTCGGCTCCCGCCGCCACCGCGGCCGGGGGCGGTCCCACCGCCGCGCCGCTGCGGCAGCTCCTCCTCCTCCTCTTTTCTTCCTCCTCGTCCACCTCCGCTCCCTCCAGCCGCGTCGCGGCCGCTCCGCCCCGACCGGAGGAGGAACGAACCACTTTTCCGACTGCGGGGAGAGGGAGCGAACGAGACTTTTCCCATTCCTTTCTCCAACCCTGCCTCGGGTCCGGCGGGCTCTTTCCTCTCGTGGCTGCCCGCATTCCTCCAGGCGTGGGGGCGGGAGCCGAGCCGTCTGTGTTAGGCCGGGGCGCTCGCCGAGCCCTCGGCGGCGCGCCGCAGCTGCCCCGCCCCCGGTGCGGCGCGCGGTGGTTCGGGCCCGCTGGCGGGAGGAGGCGGCGCGGCCGCGTTTCCCGCGGCGGGCGGCGGGCCGGACGCCAGCACGGTTGGTAGCAGCGGGCTGCACGAGCGGCCGGCGGGCGGGCTGGGAGAGCGGGAGAGAGAGAGAAAGAGAAAGGGGGGCTCAGGGGGTAGCGGGAGAGAGAGAGAGAAAAGGGGATGGACAGGGAGAGGAGGGCGGGCGGAGTTAGTGCTCCGCGCGCCCCCTCCCTCCCCCACTGCCCCCCGCAGCGCTCTCGCCCCATCGCGCCCGCGTGCGTGAGGGGGCGAGCGGCCGCTGGGGCCGGGGGAGATCGGGACAAGGTGGCGGGCGGCTGTCCCGGGCAGGCGGCCTGGCCGTGCCCGCGGGCGGCTGCTAACGCTGCCGAGCGCCCAGGGGGTCTTTTTGCGGGGGTGGAGGGCGGGCACGGCGCAGCGCGCCCCAGCCGGGGGCCGCCCGCCCTTGCTGACGTGCCTTCTTGTGCTGCCCTTCTCTGCTCTCTCCCGCCCCAGCGTGTTTATCCCGGCAGCGAGCGGCACCTCGCGTGGCTGGCAGTGCCTCGGTGATTGCTGGAGGTGCAGAGCCTCTCCTTCTCCGAGCCCGGCTCGCCAGGCGGCAACGGGGCGTTACGCCGGTGAGAAAACATGAGCCGAGATTTCAAACCCGGAGACTTGATCTTCGCCAAGATGAAAGGTTACCCCCATTGGCCGGCCAGGGTAAGGCTCCCCCTCCTCCCCTTGCCCCGTTCCCTGCGGGGTGCGCTCACACACCTGTGCTGAGCAGCACCTCCAGATCCGCCTCCTGTGAGGGAGGATGCGGCTGGGCTCCCCGGGGTAGAACCAGCTTTGCAGTCACCTTGCAGATCCGTACTGTAAAAAGTTGCCCTCTCAAGTAGTCATTAGTTGTCCTAATTTGTGTAGCGTGGCTTTACGGAATGAAGACTGCTGTGTGGTAGCCTGATACTGGAGCGTGTGCAAGCCCCTGGGGCTGTTCAATAATGGTGTCCCCAAATAACTGCTCTTGGCAAAAGAAAAACACGAGTTTATGGCAAGATTACTCCCAAGTGGGCTATGTCTACTGTACTTTCTGTTAAATAGGCTATGTGTATGTGGTAACTTGTCTGGTACTTTTTTGTGTTCTCTGTGCTCCATTGGAAAAGGCATGCCAAGTTCTGGGACTGCTGTAGGTCATTTGTTGGATGTGGGAATGGAGTTTAAAAGGTATTTAGTTAAGATGCTGACGAATTGGAGTTCTTGTAAAGTTTATTACCCTTTTAGTAGTACTTCACATTTGGCCTTCCACAAGTTATCAGGTCAGCCATAAGGGTAGGAAGTCTTCCTGTTGCTTTTCCTTAAGGATGGTCAGTATATGGATGAAATTGAATTATGCCTTTTGCCTGTAACACATTGTAATCTCTCCTTTTAAGAGAAGGGGTCGTGTGAAAAGTATCTCTGTATACTGAAAGTAATGTAATTTTCTGTTGTTGCTGATACTGATTTTGATTCTGCTATATTTTTTTACATACTGTTAGAAAGATATCTAAGTTCCTGCTTTATTTTCTGTAGCGTTTTTATTCCCATTTTAATGATTAATTTTTATATATTTCCCCCTAACTGTTTTTGACTCTTACTTGATTTTAATTATAATAGGCTGTGTTTTTCTTAGGTGGATGAAGTTCCTGATGGAGCAGTAAAACCACCTATGAATAAAATGCCTATTTTCTTCTTTGGCACCCATGAGACGTAAGTTCTTTATATTTCAGTGTTGTATTTTTTTCATTTTAAAATGCTATGACAAAAAGTTATCTTCTCTGAATGTAGTGTACTGCAAGCTAATGTATTTATTAGCACATCTTCCTAAATTGATCTGTTTTGTCAAGACATGATTCTGTAACATTTACTTAAGCTCTTCAAGGAACCATAACCATAACGTATATGCTTTGCTCATCAGAAAAAAAAAATAGTACCCACAGTGATGTGGCTGATGGGTTTTTCTTTTTATCTGTAATGAGTTTAATTATAGTCCTGTATATCATCAAAATTCTCAATACTATATTCTCAAAGAAGTGAATTAGGAAAAATTTGAGAAATGGACAAATAATAATGTACTGGAGTTATTTTTATTGTTTGGTATATTGGGTTTTTTCTGACGAGGTTTTGGGTTT